AGAACACACAAAGCATAGGCCATGGGGGAATCTAGGGGCCTAGAAAATCACAGGAGGAAAGCTCTGCTTTGAAGGCCCAGAGAGCACTAATATTTTGTTTCCCCTGATATTCCCTGCCTTTTCCTCTTCCTCCCTCTCTCTGATCCCACTCCAGCTAAAATGTGAGGAGAAAGGAGAGCCAAACTCATTCATTCCTGCCTGCAAAAATCTCCAGCATAGGGTAGAAAAGTATTTATCTGAAGTCAAACTGGGACTTTCGACTATCACATAGTAGTAAACAATCTAATTACTGAAGTAAGATATGTTTGTGCAAATTAAAGACATTATAGAATGGTCTGTTAATTAAAATTGAGCAAATGATTTAGATGGTATGCTGCAATTTCTATACAGTGACAGGAGAATAGCTTCTCCATTGGGAACTTGTAAAGGGGCAATAGCAGAAACATGAATTTCAGCTCAAACAAAAATTTCATCAAGTGCTTATTCAACCTAGTAGTTACATTTGTATAGTTTTAAAACACAAAAACAATACTTCAAATAGCATTTAATTAATGAATTAGTGAATAAACAAAAAATTATATAATTTGTTTGACTGGAAATAGGCTTTTCCAGCTCTCCTGCAACTAACATACATACACAAATAGGGGTATGTATGCAAGTACATCTGTATTTTATAAAATCACTCAGGCTTAGGTGAGATCCCACAGTTTAGACTCACGCAATAGAGCATCATATTTAAGCATGCAGTCCCTGGACTGTGTCTTCCATAGATGGTTGACTAAATTCATTCCCAAATCTTGGGAGAATAGCTGACAGGAGGATTATAGGTGAAGAGAGGCACATTTTCAGAAGATGAAAACAATTGTGTATGGGAATGCCCTGTCTCCCTAGGATTTGTGCTGGCTTTGGCGTGGCAAAGATGATAAATGTGGTCAAAAGTAGCTCTGAAGTTGCCAGAATGTCTAAAGAACAGGAGGGGCCGAGTGAATGAATCCAACTGTTAAATTCCCCTTATGGGGGTGGCTCTCGAAGGCAACCACTTAGTCTTCCTGGGTGATTTTTTTCAAACTAATCTTTTTCTTCATAGTCTCTCAATTATCAAGTTCAGCTTGTGCCTTTTAGAACAGAGAAGGAAATTGGAAATTATAAGACAACCAGATTATAGATGCCCATGTTGTAGCAATGGAACCTGTGGATGGCTGGTAGGGACATATTCTGAGATGTAATTTCAAAGTTTCCAAACCCTTGTGTGCACACACATGCACACAAAAACATAAGAGTGTTGTTTGTATTTGTGTTACACACACACACACACACACACACACACACACACACACACACACGAGGTCTGACAATTAAGTTTGCGAACTCATCCTAGAAAAAGTGGTGTATGCCTCATTGCTGAATATCAATATGGTTACTTTCGAAGTACTCCCCTTGGGAAGCTATGCACCAATGCCAGCGCCTAGTCCACCCTTCAAAGCAATTCTGGAACTCTTTCTGGAATGGCCATCAGAGCTGTTCTTGTATTACCCTTGATGTCCTGAATGTCATCAAAATGTCTTCCTTTCAATATTTTATTTTTCGTCTTCATTTTTTAAATTAGTTTCAGGTGTACAAAACAGTGCAATAGTTATATGTTTTACCCCTTACAAAGTGACAAATCCCCTCCCCCAACCCACCACCCCACTTCCCCCCTCCCTCCCTCGACATCATATATATCTATTACAATTCCATTGACTCCACTCCCCACACTAATATTTTCTCTATCTTTGGGTAAAGAAAGAAGTCACAGGTGGCCAGATCAGGTGAGTAGGGAGGGTGTTCCAATACAGTTATTTGTTTACTGGCTAAAAACTCCCTCACAGACAGTGCCATGTGAGCTGGTACATGGTTGTGATTCAAGAGCCATGAATTGTTGGCGAAAGTTTCAGGTCGTCTAACTTTTTCATGCAACCTTCTCAGCATTTTCAAATAGTAAACTTGGTTAACTGTTTGTCCAGTTGATACAAATTCATAATGAATAATCCATCTGATACCAAAAAAAAGGTTATCAACATCATTGCAACAAGTTCATGAACTTAATTGTCAGACCTTGTGTGTGCCTGTGTGTGTGTGTGTGTGTGTGTGTGTGTGTGTGTGTGTGTGTTTGCAAAAGCTACCCAAGCAACGAAGGGTGATCTTAGCCCTTGGGGCCTGTGCAAAAGGAACTCAGGCCTTTGAAGTATCAAGTTTCGGGAGGAGGTGAAGAGAGGATGAATTAAACTATCATCCTCCCGGGTTGGAGATAAGCCCAAACACCATAGAGCTCTTTATTCACACAGGACATGTTAGGAAAGCACATTAACTCGCCACCCTAGCACATTTATTGATATCAACAGTTGGCAGTTTTTACTCTGATAGAGATTTATTTCAGTAGACTAGGTTCTGGCCCCTCTCAGGATGGGAAGGAGACATGATACAGAACAAAAAGTTTCCTCCATAGAGATTTGGGCAGGAAATGCCCAGATCAAAACCCTCTTAGCTCCTCTGACAGGGTGTCCTCAGTAGGAGAAATAACTTGTAAGACTCAGTGGTAGAGAGGGAGGGCTGGAGGTTCTCAGAAGTCAAATTACACAAATATGAAACAAGGAGGCCCCAGACTTGACCTGGGTTCGATGTGAAAGAGCTCATTTCCAAGCCCTAAGCTTTAATCCAAATAATACTTTCTCTGGTTCTAGGTTTGGTAATATGGGAGAACCATTTACATTTAGTCATTTTTGTGTGTGTGAAGCATTCATTTAAAAAAATTTTCATTCACTTCTATGGTTTTGTCTGTGTTGTAGGAAATAAAAGAATATTACATTTCTCAGGCTCTCCTTGCCCCAGGTTTCTAAATGTGGCCGACATTCTGCCAGCCAAAGAGTATTATGAGATTTGGGTGGTGGCAGATAGGCTGAAGGCATCTCGTGCAGTGGACACCAGGGTTTCACAGACAGGAGTCTTCACAAAATCTTGGTGTTCTGGGGACATTCCTTCCCTTGGGGCTCTAGAGGAGCTATGACGTCAACAGTGGCTTCCTACAGGTCTCTGACCTCCTATAGTTAGGGGTCTGTGCTGACTTGGGCTTTTCCAGACTTCCTAAGTGTGTTAAGGTATAATTTCCTGTAATAGGAAGATTGTAATAAACAACCCTGTGACAGCGTCTACAGAGATTTCTATTTCCCGACTGACTCTGACTAGCACAATGACTCATCACCATTTTATGCCACCAAGAAGACCTCAATCAGGTGCCCTCAAAAATTTCCTCAAACACACAAGAAGTTATAGTTCAGGAGAAAACAGGGAACCATGAGTGGTGTCCAGAGAGGAACTTCTCTCCTATTACATAGAAAGGGAACTGAAAGTCTCTTCCAAAGTCTCCAAATTTAGTAATCTCATGAGGAGAACCAATCAGTGTTTTAGAACTAAACAATATCATAAGTTGCTGAGCAACACCTTGGGTTGAAGGTGCTGTTACAAGATGTAAAATGTTTTTTTTCTGTAAAATGTCTCTGAGTTTATTATATACTTATTGAACTTCTTGTAAGAATGAAGCATTATGACAGCAAAGGCCAAGCATGGAAAAGTTATACTTGGTTTTCTCTCTGAAAGAGGAGCTCACAAGCCTAAACCATAGGATCAGACTCTCAGCAGAGACTGATACTGTAGAACTCTCATCTGGCCCATTCCCCTGTCTCCAGCAAATGTATTCCTTAACAATTGAAAGGCAGAGGTGTGCCGTGGGTCTCCTCCAAGTGACCTAGAAGTCAGTGTCAGAGAATGTTTAAAGCCTTAGATGTGATCAGATAATCAGTGATGTACAGGGTGTCTGACCTCATGATTTGTGAGGGCAGCTGCAGGGCAGGATAAGACCGCAGCACAAGAGTGTGGAAAATGCACCCTGAATATATGTACCATGACTGATATTAAACAGTGAACTCACCATCTGATTGGCTGCCTCACTGACAGGTCTCTCTTCACTAGAAATATTTGGGTCCCAGCCCTTGCTATGTGTGGTTCAATTTTCCTTTCTATTGCACTATATTTTCAAAACATGAGGGTCAGAGTGTCTTAACTTTTAGTATTCTCGATAATAAACATCAAAATTAATTCTTTGGATCAGGACTTCAATAATCTTATGACATGAGGAGAACTTTCATAACCATATGACACGAGGAAGTAACGGTAAAGCCCTCCTGCAGGACATGTCCAGCATTCCCAGTAAAATAAGCTCTGCCTTATTTACTCCATCCTATTCATCCACCTGAGTCCTCAGATGAAGTATGTCCCCAACAGTCCACTCTGATTTCTGGTCATATTTAAGGTGGTAGGGATTAGTAAAAGGTATTTCCATTCACTGTTTTTAGAAACCACTACCCATTTCCAAGGGGTAGCTTTCCATCCGTCTTCATTTTGGGGAACGTTGAAACTCAGAATTTCTCCTTCAATGTCCCCTAAATATCGCAAAGTACCAGGGATCCTGAGCTTTTGGGCCAAATTGGCCATCTTGGAGTCTAGGACACTGGAGGAGAAGCCTGAAGCAACAGAAGCTTATTAAGTGAAGCTCTGTCACCCAATACTACCAAGATTCAGTTATTCTCCATAGCCTGACAATTTACCTTCTTTTCAGATGATTTGTTGTCACTTAAAATAAACTACTCAGCTGTCACAGCACAGATGTGATCTATCATTAACTCTCAACTTGAGGTTGTTTCCATTGATTATATACACTTCAGGTACAACCCTTTCTGGAACATGGAACTCGGAACTTGGATTGAGATGTAAAAGGGTGAGTAATAACCTACCATTCTCAAAAACTTGATTTTTTGTTTGTTTTCTATTTCTTTGATTGATTGAGAACTTTGTGTATTCATTTAATCAAGTGTCTTTTCTAGACCCTTTACAAGATTCCTTTCCTTAGCAACAGACGTGTCATCTCAAAATACTTTTCTGATTGGCTGCAGCTCAACTGATTTGAATTTTAATCAGTCAGATACCGTGGCACCCTACATTCTCTTTCTTTTATTTTTCTCCGTTCTGCCTCACTCTTAAGCTTTACTGATCCCCATCAAAGCATCCAAGAAGAAAATGGCCATAATTGGAGTCCCAATATTGGGATTTTTCATCATAGTTCTACTGACTAGCCTTCAGGAATCATGGGCTATCAAAGGTAAGTGCTGAGAGAATCAAAACTGGGGACAATCAGCTCTGAGAGAAATGAACTGTGGACATTTGCAAGACTATCTTTGATATGAAAGAAAAGTGTGATAGGTGTTATGTGGCTCTAAATCTCAAAGTATAATAAATTGTAGATGGAAGAGCTCTCTTCTCTCCACAATCTGAAGTAAGTTAAATTTAATTTAGAGGAGCAAAACTGAGTTACATATTGATCAATACCATTGACTTTGAGGTAAGCCAAAACTGAGGGGGAAATATTTTCTGACAGGCTGTTTTTCTGGGCTTTAATTTATCTATCTAAAAAATTATTAAAATTAAAAATCTTAAACAATTTTTTTGGTGAGGATTTAGTGAGAAAATATGAGAAGTTCTTAGCTGGATACAGGGTAGTTATTTTTTGGCATGTGGATCCTGTCAGCATATTTTGAGCACTGAAATGAAAGATTCCTAGAAAGGAAAGTCACCAAAAAATAACCATCTACCCAAGGGAGCGGGAAGGGCAGGTATGCTGATATGAATTGCATTTAATTTACTGCCTCTTGGGACAGTGATAGCCTCTCTACAGTGGATCTTACAATTATCTTTGGTCACTGTTACTTAATGATTTTCCCAAGAGAGTAGAAAAATGAGTAATGAAGTAAAGATTCTGATGTTCTCTGCCATCTCCTGACCAAACATTGCCCCGCTGTGAAAAAATGTTCTTCACCCAGGTGGCTCCCACAGAGGGTGGCAGATAGACTGAAAAGCCATACATGGGGATGCATACAATGGAAAGACAGGTTGTATGCATTTCCCTCAGGTTGGAAAGGGGCAATTAGAATATGTGTGTGTGTGTGTGCGCGCGCGCGCGCGCGCGCGCGCACACACACACACACACACACACACACACACATAGCAAAAAATGCTAAATAAATTCAATGTACAGTCAGACTTTAAAATTTCCCTCTCCTCTGTATACACAACATGGGTTGTACACTCTACAATTGTAGCTTCTTATTTCAAGTTGAGTATTCCTTGCTATAGATTATTCTCAGTATCAACCATAATAGAATAGGTTTCATAACGACCGTCTCTATTTAACGAGCTTTAAGATACAAGGGTATGTTGTCGAGGTCAGTACAAATATAATTCTTCCCTCAGAGATATCCACAATGCAGGTGTAATCCAAGAAAGTGGATGCTCTACAACACTACAAGGTCTCAATCTTAATTTCCTGGGTACTTCAGACCCCAGTTATATTTTCCATGGGTCTTGTCCTTAAATACAAAGCAGCTTCTAAAGTGCTTGTTATAGGCCTGGTGATATACTAAGAAATTACTTACCTTGTGTGATTTAATCCTAAAACAAACCCATGGTAGAAGCAAAACCACAGAAGAAAACAATAGGTAAACTACATGTAAGTAGGTAAAATAACCTACTCACGATCACCAGGTATGTAAGTAACTGAATTAGAATTCAAAATTCAATTTGATTTCAGAATTCAGAACCCAACCTTTTAGGAGCTGGTGTCAGATTTCTAAAGCAGGAACCATTTCTCAGCTAGTAATGTGGAGATAAACCACAGCTTCATAAGGTCCTGGGTTTTCAGCCCCCATTTCTTTCAATCCACCCTCCTTAACGCTACCCTTTAATTTCTCCCCTCAATCTCTGTTCAACATGAACACCCTTCACCTAGGCCTTATCTTCCCAGTCATGTCAACTCTCCATCACTCCTCCATTCCAGTGGCCCTATCCCTTTCTACCACACTCTGCCTACAATATGTGTCTCACATCCAGGATCCTTCATCTCTCTCTTAGTTCCCACCCTAACTTCATTTTCTGCCTTTTCAGAGGATCATGTGATCATCCAAGCTGAGTTCTATATGACCCCTGATTCATCTGGCGAGTTTATGTTTGACTTTGATGGTGATGAGATTTTCCACGTGGATCTGGAAAAAAAGCAGACGGTCTGGCGGCTTGAAGAATTTGGACATTTTGCCGGCTTTGAGGCTCAGGGTGCATTGGCTAACATAGCTGTGGACAAGGCCAACCTGGACACCATGATGAAGCTTACCAACAACACCCCAAACACAAATGGTACCTCTCTCTGCGGCACTCCTAGATGTGGGAATAACAGCTTTAAAATTGATTCTTTAGCTATTTGTATTAAATTATCATGGCTGACTTTCCCTTCCAGGGCTTAGCTTTGCCATAAGCAAGCCCCAAATTCTCATGCTCCAGGCCCAAGAACTTCATGGGTTTTTCACTTCTTGATGTTCTTGCATCTTGTCTCTGCCATTCACAGTCATTCACAAAGGTATTACCCTGAATCTATGCTGGGGGAGGCAGGAACAAGGTCCTTGGATATCTTATACTTCAATACTGGTTCCAGTTTATGGTGAGGGAATCAGAGATAGGTATCGGAGACTGCGGCATAAATTCTCAGGGTGCAATCTCAACTGCTTTTTCAGCTTTAGTGTGTGTGTGTGTGTGTGTGTGTGTGTGTGTGTGTGTAAGCATAAAAGGCTCATTTCTGTCATGTCTCCCCAGTACCTCCAGAGGTGACTGTGCTCCCGAACAAGCCTGTGGAGCTGGGAGAGCCCAACATCCTCATCTGTTTCATTGACAAGTTCTCCCCACCAGCGATCAATGTCACATGGCTGCGAAATGGAAAACCTGTCACCACAGGAGTGTCAGAGACAGTCTTCCTGCCCAGGGAAGACCACCTTTTCCGCAAGTTCCACTATCTCCCCTTCCTGCCCTCTACCGAGGACGTCTACGACTGCCAGGTGGATCACTGGGGTTTGGATGAGCCGCTCCTCAAGCACTGGGGTACGGAGCAGCCTTCACTCTCTTTTATTTTGTGGTTTCTCCCAGTGATGCGTGTGGCTGGTCCTTTGGGGCCCAGAGTCCCCTAACTGTTTCATAACCACTGCTACAATTGTTATTCCTTGTCTTCTACCATTATCCAGCTTTCCCCACTTTCTAACTTGTAATTCTCTTCTTTATTAATAACTTTTCTTTTACTCCTACCTTTGATCTTAAGTACTACTTCATACCACATTGATTACTTCTGTACTGTTGTATTTCCCTCCAGAGTTTGAAGCACGGACCCCCCTCCCAGAGACAACAGAGAATGTGGTGTGTGCCCTGGGCCTGATTGTGGGTCTGGTGGGCATCATTGTTGGGACCATCTTCGTCATCAAGGGGGTGCGCAGAGGCAGTGCTGCTGAACACAGAGGGCCTCTGTGAGGGACTTCAGGTGGGTTTGATGGTCAGGAAAAGACAGATATGAGTTAGCAAGGGAAGGAAACAGAGGGGAAAGGACATGTGATGCCCTAAGGGACAAAGATAAGAAAAGACATGGCTCTTGACTTACCTTTGCCAGGACAGAATCAGACATTGGCATTGTCTGGTGTCTCAAAGCTACAGGGTCCCTCATCCCTTTCCATACATGTGCGCCTCCCTCCTCAGTCTTGGAAATTCTCTGCAGTACCTAAGACCATCATTTCACATTAGAATATGGGGTCCAGTGATCTAGGAAAGTTAGCTTCGAAATTTGAGCACTTCCTGGCTTATATTTTTTGGGCAGGCCATCAGGTCAAAAGTACTTCCAGAGCTTGGATTTTCTGGGGTTAGTGTAGATTCATTGTATGAACTAGCAATTTCTTGGAAGTCAGTGTCTGTGTTTGCTCCTCCAATCTGAAAAGTGGTTTCAGAAGCTCTAAGAGAAGGTAAAGCCTGACGCTCATTCATGCTCACTTGGAGAGTAGGGTATATGGTTCATGCTGGTAAGATTACTAGAGGTCAGATGAATGTGAAGAGACTTTCCCAAAGTCAAAGGGTTAAGGGAAAAGAGAAGGAATCTGAAAGTAAATGCTCAAAATATTCATTTTAAACTCTTTAGTAACTATGTGTGTCCTACTACAGGTAATGGACTATCTTATAGAGAAGATCAATGAAGAGATTTCTGCTTTAGTATCTTCAAAAACCTGGCAATTCTCCAATGTTCACTTCTGTGAAGACTGCCACTCTCCAGCACTTCCCAGCCCTGTAGTCACTCTAAGAGCGGTGACGCATCTCCGTCTCTCCATGCTCTAACAGCTAGTTGGGCTTCCCTACCTATTGCCCCTTCCTGTATCTTGTCCATTCCCCATTATCTTTTTACTATTAGCATGTAATGACCCTGAAATAGATCCCATAAGATCTTTTTTTGCTATGAAACCTTTAGAACATTTCATGGAGGCATCTCCTATATACTTATTGCTTGGGGCTTCTTCAAACTGTGATTGTAATTTTTCTGAATACAATAAACTATTGGATCAGTATTAGGTGGAGTTTTTGTTATCTGAGCCAGTCCTTCACAGGAATTGGGGAATATATGCAATCTTTTCATCCTAAAATGTCTTAATGTTTAATATATCTTATAACTCTGTAATTAATAAAAAAATATCCTGACTCATTAGGGCTTGATCTTGTTCAGAAGATTTACAGCAGCCCAGTTGCTGTGGTCCAGTCCTCATCTGGAAAACTCTAGAGTGAGGTTTGTTGGAAGATCTCTGCTGAGCAACAGGCTCAGAATCTGGTTTTGGTTCTTGAACATTCAAGTCCATGAGATATCTGAATCTTCTGTAGAATGACTCTCAAAGCCGAGAGTTGCCTCTGGTAATAGGTGAGACAAGTGGTGTGGAGAAGATGGAGGGGAGTGGGGAGCAGAATAGAAGAGGATCTATGTATATTACTCATTTACAAATCAATTGTCACCCATTCCAGACTTAATGAGGAATGAGATTAGACACTGAGTATTGGCATTACCCATTTTATCAACAGACTTGGATGCCTGTTTCATTACTAGGACAATAGTCTGACTTATTCTTGGAATGACCTTGCATTTGGGGATGTGTTCCTGAGTGGAAAAACTGAGTAAAGGGAGGAGGGGGAGAATATGGCATCAGAATAGGAGGAAAGACTGAAAGTGAATTCTTTCTTACGTATCTGTGAAGTTATGACTTGATATTTATTTCTAAAATTATTACCATAACCTACCCCACACTATAAAGGCTAATTATCCATGACAGTTTGGTAGACTGGCATATAAGTTCTTTTGAAGTGAAGTGGACTCTGGCTTTACCTTGGCTCCATCATTTACTATTTATGTATTCACTGGTATCTTACTTAACTTTATTTAGCCTGATTTTTTTCATGAAAATATTGATGCTAATTTTTACCACATTGTGTTATTATAAGAAGTGAAGGGAAAATGCAAGAAAAGTAATTAGGTACCATGCTTATTGGTAATAATGTTGCAAAATTACAACTTTAATCATTTTTCCTAAAAACTTCTGCAGCCTGTGATAAAAATTTAAGAGAAGCAAAACAAAACAAGCACAAACCCAAGAAGGATGACTTGAAAGGTAGCAGACTATGCCACCCTAAAGTATGCTTCTAGCATAAGGATTACTTTAGGCTGATTATGTGGTTTTAGATTATAGTATTGCTTTATATTACTTGTTTGCTGAACAAGGCTGTGTCTGTGCCATAGTAAATACCTCCTGTGTTACCTGGATTAACACCTCTGGTGTTGTAGAAACTCAAATACAAGAAATTAACAAACAAGCCACTCGGCTAAAACAGGTGAATATGCAAATGTTGGTATGCTTGATGTTGGACCAGAGGTCTTTTATACTTTCCTCATTTTTAAAAATTCTTTTTTATTTTTGCTGTTCCAATTGGGTGTTTTCTGCTATCTTGTCTTCTAACTCAGATTCGATCCTCTGTTTCATATAGTCTGCTGGTTATTCCTTCTTCTGCATTCTTCATTTCAGTTATTGTAGTCTTCACTTCTGATTGGTTCTTTTTTATGATTCCTCTGTCCTTTTTTATGCTTGCTGTGTCTTAGTTAAAGTTCTCACTAAGTTCCTTGAGCATCCTTATAAGCAGTGTTTTGAACTCTGTATCTGGTAGGTTGCTTGCCTTCACTTAATTTTGTTCTTTTTCTGGAGTTTTCTTCTGTATTTTTCACTTGAGATATATTTCTTTGTTTCTCCATTTTGGCTGCCCCTCTGTTTGCTTCTATGTATTGGTAGATCTGCTACGTTTCCCAGTCTTGGCCAGGTGGCCTTAGGTAGTAGGTGCCCTGTGGGACCCTGGTACAGTCTCCTTGGCCACCTGCTCAGGTGTTCCAGGAGTGTCCTTTATGTGGGTTGTATGTGCCCTTCTGTTATAGTTTAGTCTTGATTGTTATTGCCACGTCAATGAGTGTGATTTACCCTCAGGCTGATTGGCTCTGATGCTTGGCATCATTCACAGCCTATGGGTTGCTTTTCAGGGGGCTTGCCCTACAAGTGGGATTCACCTCAGTGGAATCTTGTGCCTGTTGAGACTGCCTTTTGTGTGTGCTTCTTGTGCGGCTAATTGGGCAGTGCTCTGTTGTGGTCTGAAGCAAACCTCCAAATATGTTGATTCTGGGGCATATTGGGAGGGGCTCTGGTACAGGCCCAGGTCAACCCTTGCCTCTGACTGCCTGGGGACTATCTTGTAAGAGCTATAAAGCCATCGTGGTTGTTCACTGCTTGTGCTAAAGTTGGAGGCATGTGGCAGAGGCCACGCTGTGAACAGAAGATGTGTGCCACCTGTACCAGGTCTGGAGTAGCTCCACAAAAAGCAGAACACCCAAGGCCTGCTGCCGACTGCTGGCTTCCTTAAGGTTCAGCCACTGATAAAGCTGTGTGGTATGCAATTTGGGTGAGGCAGGGTCTCAGGGAGTCACTAGAGTGCGAAGAGTTGTGGTCACTAGGTTAACGTAGATCCTGGTTTGGTGCCAGTGCTGAGCCTGAAGCCACTCAGCAAAGTCTCAAAGCATACCAAGGGTAGTCGCCATCTCCCTGAGGCCTGTGGACTCCCATAGTTTTCTAAGAAATAGTGCAATGTGGGTGGGACTGTCTCTTTGCTGAGAAAGTGCCTCTGGCATTGAGGGAGTTGGGTGGGGCTGGGTTCCAGGGAGTTACCATGGTGGAGCAAGTAGATTTCACCAGGCCAATGTAGATTCAGATTTCAAATGGTCATTAATATTTGGTTCTGTCCAAAACAATATCTACACTTGCAAAAGTCCCTGGGTTGAAAGATACCATAATGTTTATTTATACTTTTGGTTTAAAATATACATTAAAAATACTATCATGCTTTATTGGTTCAATAAGTGCCTTGTGGCTGTATTGCCAATAATAACCTTTAGAATGAAATACAAGCAAATATTAAGGACTCTCTGACCAAAAGTCTCAGTGGATGTTTTGGACAGGACCAAATGTTCTGCAAGGAAGCCCAACTCCTTCTCCATAATGTTGGTGTAGTCCAATGGGTCTGTCATTGGATGACTTGGATTTCATCTCCAATCCTGAACAAGCCCCAGTCAACACCAAATCAAACTAATTTTTTTACAGGGACGCCCCCTTCTTCCACTTTGTGAAGACCTCTCATACTATTGAGAAGGCCTGCTAGCAAGTAATGCTCACCCATTCCCAGGTTTTACAGCACCAAGGCAGCCCACAACCCAAAGGGAAGCCCTGGGGTGTCAGACCCTGCAACCCACTTTGTAGACCACTCTTCCCACAACCTGGTCCCAGAACCCCCATGCTAACCCTATTGGGAAGCAGTGCGTGGAACAATTATAATCAGCAGAGGGCCTTCTACTCGCAGTTCCGCTAATTGGGGGTCCTGACTGATCTACTGGCTCGTCGGAAAAGTCATGACGTATTTTTCTATGTTTTTCGTTGCAAAAATGCATCATGACTTTTCCGATGACCCAATAATATCTGGACAGCCCTGACATAAACTCCTCCCTTTAAAACAAGTGATTGCCTTTTGCAGAGTCCAATCTCAATGGCCCAGAGGAATTCAGATAGTCCTGAGGCTCCTACTTCTCTAACCGGTAGACTCGGTAGCCCTCCAGAGCATTTCCCTGGGAATATTAGGTGAAGCAAGGTACAGAGAGCACGTCCTTAAAGATATGCTTGGCGCTAGGGTTATTAGGTTTCCCATCTTACCCTTTAATAAAGCCAGACACCAATGAATAAATATTAACAATTGACTATCAAAACTTAAATGCACAGATTTCCACTATTAAGGCTCTCATTCCCAATATTATTAAGATGATATGTATCCAGAAAGACTAGGGCCTAAACTTTGATATCCTAGATTTAAGTTACATGTTTCCCTTGGTCCCAATAACTGAAGACTCACAACCTCAATTTGTTTACACTGTGGAGGGCACCCAGTATAACTTTACTCAGCTGTCCATGGTTAACCCAAATAGCCCTGCCAGAGAAAACCAAGATGGCACAGTAGGTAAATGCTGTGCTTACTTTCTCTCATGACCACATCAAAATTACAACTAATCTATAAAACAACCATTATTGAGAATCACCTAAAATCAAGTTGAACTGAAGCCTTTCAACTAAGGACGTGCAGAAGAAGCCACCTCCAGGCTGGTAGGAAGGTCAGAGACACGGAACAGGCTGGTCCCACACCCACGTGTGACCATTAAAGATTGGGAGAGATATTTCATCTGTGGGGGTTGCCTCATCCCCCTGAGGAGTGAGAGGTTCCAGACCCCCCCACCCCCAGCCTAGAGTTCCAGTGTCGGGGAGAAAAGTCCCCATAATTTCTGGTTGTGAAAACCAATGGAGATAGTGACTGAGTGAGACTGAAGGTGGCTGCACTTCTAGGTGTGCTTCTTAAAGGGACCATGCAGACTGACCCACCAACGGAATCACTCATGTTGGGGCAGTGGCTGGAGAGTGAGCAGGGACATATGGTGTGGAACTGAGTTGTCTGGCTTGGGACTGGGACTGGAGAGGTGGCCTTCACCTGGACGGGGGAGCTGGTGGAGGCCATTGTTTCTTTGCTGAGCCCTCCCCCCTTCCCCGCATGTGAACACAGGCGGCCATCATATCTGAGTCTTTGCCCTTCATTTGTCATGCTCTGGCAATTCGAAACCCTGCCCTGTACAAATTCAGGCAAACCCAGGCCACTTCCAGTGGCTTTTTCATGCAGACAGCCTGCCTTGGCTGAAGCTGTAGAATTTTCTAGGATTTCTCAAAGTTTCACGGAACCCAGACAAACAGCACCTGGCTTCAGCGTGTCCTGTACCTCTGGCTGAGCAGCCCTAAGTTCAGCACTAGCAGCAACTAGCCTTGGTTCCCAGCTTGGCCTCTCAAGGTGCTTCCAAGCACAGCATGGACGACAGTCATCTGCAGATTTTTTTGTGGCTCCTGCTAGGTGGCCCTGGGTGGGGCACGGGCTGAGGCTGAACTTGACCTACAGTGGATCC